ATATATATATATATATATATATATATATATATATATAGGAGCTGAGTTAGGAATCCCTACTAACTCTTTGTATGGCATTCAGTCCATTGTAAGGATCAATTAATTTTTCCTTTAATTTATTTACATGTAAACTTAATTAACCATATTGCTTAGTATACTAGGCATTTGGTTGCACTTAACCACAATAACACATGTCATTACTTCCCTAAAACAAGCAGGATCAACTTGCTTTAGGATGCTGCATTTTGCCAAAAGGCCAAGCATGGAATCAGTTCTCTAGTATCTTCTAAGCACAACACAAAGTAATTGCATTATCTATAAGAAAGACTGAAAGCAAATCAACCAATGACTGAAACATTTAAAAAACAGACCTTTTCAACTTAAAATATTTATGGGACTAGGAAGTAAAGACACTTTGAAAGCTGCCACAGTAGGAGGCTTTCTCACCAGTGGGAATGACAACATGCCCACTGTAAAAGTAGGAGGAAGAAAAAGAACATCTTGCTCAATATCCAAACCCAAGACCATTTCTAAAACCGTAAGTTGCTGATTCATGAAATACTCCAGAAGCATTCAAAGATCACTATTAAGAATGGCTGGAGGGGAAGGTAGAATCCAGAGTGCCTTTAGAGGAATCTGTTGTACACATAGCCTTTAGCCTTCGCCAAGAGCATTAGGGCAGTTTTTATGTTTACATCTAGGAAGCCAACAGACTCAATGACATGAGCCTTTAGGGACTTCTTCATGCAATATATGCAACCTCCCTCTTTTGCTTGAATAAATAAATACTCAAAGAGCCACTCACTTCCTCCCATGCTGTACAAGGAACAGGCACCAATGGAGTCTTCTTCGGACTCAATGAAATGGGACTAAACTGCTTTTGATGGAGTGCTTCAGCAATCCCACATATTTAGGAATCAAATTGTGTTCATAGCTTGTAAGAATACTGTAACTGTCTGAAACGATAATAATAGATTGCATCCAAGAAGCTATAACAAGTCCATCTCTTATCCTTCACTGCTAACATTAATTGCAGCCTTTTGGAAAGTTATAATTTTTCCAAAACTTTCCCAGCTGCTGCCACATAACAATCTCAGAGCAAACATGTGGAGATTAGCGATAGTAGGTATAATCTTGTGCACCCAGGTGATGATCATGCACCCCAGCTTATCCTGTTCCACATCCCACCAGTTACAATATTAAGTCAGAAAAGAGAAATCCCAATCCTGGAAGGCTTCCCATTTAAAAGAATGTGTAACTCCATTCAGCCAGCGTGACGTAGTGGTTTGAGCACTGGACTGTGACTCTGGAGGCCAGGGTTTGATTCCCAGCTCAGCTATGAAACCCACTGGGTAACCTTGGGCAAGTCACACTCTCTCAGCCTCAGAGGAAGGCAATGGCCAACTTTCTCTGAACAAATCTTGCCAATTAAACCCCATGATAGGATCGCCATAAGTAAAAAAAACAACTTGAAGGCACACAACAAGAACAAGCAAGCAAGCCAGCCCATTTGCATCTCTACCCCCATCTGCAGTGATTTCCAAGAGTGGAGATGGACTTCCACCCCATTCGTATTTTGTCTGGAGGGTGCAGTCTCAGAAAACTAGCCAGAAATTTCCAGAAAACTGGCCCTGGGCCCTCATAATCTACCCAAACCTGTTATACACCTTAGGCAGGGGCCCTACACACACACACACACACACACACACACACATACACATACACACACACACAAACGCACCATGTAATCTTGAGCAAAAGCTGTCCAGGTGGGGAAGGTAGAGGTCAGTATACGTATTCTCTCACATATGTACACACACAGACACAAAGGCTCCTTCTGTCCTCTTCTTTCATTTCTTCCTTCTGTTCACAATCCTCCTTTCTCCCTTCCATCCCTAGTTGCTAGTGTCTCCCAGAACAATAATATGGGGGGAAATCTGCATTGTAGTCATAGTGTCTGAAAAAAGAAGGATTAATCCTTCCCATTCCCGCTACCTCCCTTGCGCAACAATTATGCATTTAACTTTAAATAACTTTAGAAAAAACCAATTGCTGTGCTTCCCCTCCTTGCATTGCTGCATCCTGCACAGCCATTAGGTTTTTAAAAACAAACGTACAAAACATCTGGCACCAATGGAGTTTATGTCTTCATAGACATTCAAAGGATTGCAGGGCAAATAATTAATTAATACAAAGGGTTCCACTGTAATTAACCACATGTCGAGCATTCTTCTGTCACAAGATATACTTGGGAGCTGCCAAATGATTAATATTTTCATTTATTGCTGCTACTGCTTTCTGCCTAACAAAGGCTGGCCACATACACACTGACCTTTGGTTTCTGAACTATGCAAAATGAAAAATTTCCAAGTATATGCCCTAGAGACACAAAGCATATCAATTCTATTTAAGTTTCAACCAATAGCACACTACATCCCACTCACACGAAGGCTGTATTTCTTTCCTTAGCAGTCAGTGTGCAAGATAAAACAACTTCACACTGTAGCAGTAAAAATCTGGATATAATAAAAACCAGAAAGCAAAGAGCAGCAGCAGCAACAACGCACACAGTATCCTAACATAATGGCCTCTGTATAGTGAGGACAAATCCTGGTTAAACAAATAGGTTTACTTGCCACCAGACAGAGATACACCCTGGCCAGGTTGCACAGAGTAAATGAAAGCTTTTCCCAAATGGGGTGCCATCACCAATAAGGCCTGCTTAAGATGCTGTGAGAAATAAAGGGAGAAGGATTGCAATCCTATGACCTAATTTGGAGGATCAAGTGAGGGAGTGTAGCTACCATATGCCCCTGGCTGGAGAATGGTATACTTCTCCTATCTGGGCTAGTTGTCTTCTTCCATTGAAGCACAGAGCTTCAAGAGGAACACAGATGGAGTTATGTTGGAGGGAGGAGATACTTGCCTAGGCACCTAGGGGTGACAGATGCCGCACTCAGTTCACCCACATGCACACTCATACACACTCATACACAGACATCATACTTTGGGTGGCAGACTAGAGGCAGCAGCTACTCTTTGAAGAGTCTTCTCTTCCGTACACTTTTCCTGAATCTGAAGACAATGCTGGTAGTGTCTGTTTCCACTGGGAAATGTAGGAGGTTGCACTTCAATCCCAGATCCCCCTCCCTGAATGGAAAAAAAGATGATGCCAGCATAATCTTCAGTAAAGATTAGCACAATGGAAAGCTTGTTCTAGTAATGGTTTTGACTAGGTTTGTAACTGTGCTGAAGAAGAAAGTTAATCAGATTCCATTTGATTGTGAACACATGTTAAATTTGTTGTTACATCTTGAATATCATCTTGATCAGCTCAGGTTTTCTAATCTGTCCGATCACTTTGCAGACATATGTTTAAAAGACTAAATTGCAAAACTGACAGATTTTCAATTATTATTAGCTGTTACTCTTTTGGAAAGACACCAAAAGATGTCACCAAGGCAGCTACTCCTTCAGATTCTTCAAACTGCTTCTACAAAGCCTGTGTTTCAATTTCAGCATGGTTACAATTTCTTAAGATTGCTAACTGTTGGGTATTTAATTTATCAAAAATTGCATATTTCTCTTCAGATGTAATGGAAGCACTGCTTACTGCTTCCTTGTTCTTTCGTAATGTTTCTGCCATAAATTCACAAGCGAAAAAACAATGGGCCTTTTGGCATCTTCAAAAAAGCCAACTGCTCTCTTGTCCTGGCCCTCAGAATTGATATCATGATGGTGGTGGGTTCTAGTCCTTCAAGGGGTTTTAATATTTGACTGAAATACTCAGAGATTAATTCACATATACTGAATGAACAGACTTCTCAACAATCCCTAAGCCCATTTTCTGGTCTCCATTATCAGATTTCAGTAGGCTGCAGAAGTTGTCTTACTCTTTGTGTCTCCCTCTGTCCCTGGATCCCATCTGTCTACCTAAATTATGAGTCTGTGCAACCTCTAGCAACATCAGAAGCAGCTGTTGGAGTAAAAAAGGTTGTGCACCCCTGGTATAAATCTTAATTTAAAATATATATATATAATAGGGGACAAAATAGTCTTCTGGCATCTGTCGCAGTAGACACTTGGTTCGGTGTGACAGTGTTGGTTCAGTTTTCATACTACTCTGATCTTGCATTGAGATTTGTATATCTGTTTTCTTCTAGCATACTGCAAGTGGTGCCGAAGGTGGGGGCCAGTCCCTTGTTTCTCCAGGGAGCTGTCTAGAAGACTTCAGATCAACACCATTCATTGAATGCAATGGCGCTCAGGGGACCTGCCACTATTTTGCAAATAAATACAGTTTTTGGCTTACTACCATTGACCGTCAGTTTCAGCCATCGCCATCATCAGATACACTCAAGGCTGGACTTATCCGAACACACATAAGCAGATGCCAAGTCTGTATGAAGAATTTGTAAAACAGAGCACTCCAGTGTTCAAATGGCAAGGATCAAAACTTGTTGGTGCTTATTTAACTTATTACCTCAAAGTCTGAAGAAGTTGATTTCTGGAATAACAAACCACTCCAGATGCTAACAAGAAAATTGGTTTCTGCTATCATTCACATTATTCATTAGCTAACTTTTATACTGATGCAAATAGTAGTCTTATTTTGACACAGTAGACAAGAATTAAATACATAAAACATCTGCTGCCTGTTACAAATGATTTACATCACCAGT